TTTTTTTTTAACTCAATTTCTTTGGAGGATTTTGTACATTTTTGATTTGCTGTAACATGTAAAGGAAAAATAAAATAAAAAGGAAACTAATGGCACCTCAAAGGTGAGCAATTATCTTGATACAATTAATATATGTGTAATGGCTTCAAATAGTTTAAAAGTAGTGCTGTCAAACAAATAATCATGATTAATCGCATCCAAAATAAAGGTTTTTGTTTACATAATATATGTGTGTACTGTGTATATCTATAATAAATTTAAATTTATCTATCTATCTATCTATATATATATATATATATATATATAAAACAAAAATGTTTATTTTGGATGCGATTAATCGTTTGACAGCACTACTTAAAAGACTTCAAACCAATGAAATAACAAATATTGTAGTATGGGAATTATAAGAGGGCGGTACCTCTTCAAAAAGTACAAATATGTAAATTTTAGGTGTGCACCTTTAAGGCACCATGCACCCTTTACAGGTAAATGTGTACCTTTTGAAAGTATACTAATCTATTTAAAATAAATAATATTTAAATATTACCTATATAAATGCATTCATATATTTTATATTTGTCTAATCATTTCCAAATAGCTAATTAGAAGCTTTTAAGATCATGAGAAATAAATCCAGTCCAGTGTCGTCAAATTGTGTCCAGATCTCAATTATCAAATGTTATCAGTCCTAAAATCAAGGAGCAATCAAAAATCAAGTGGCTGCCACAGCTCAAATTGCATGATCGCAAGTATGCAGTGAGGATCCAACAGGAATTGTCAAATATTGCCATCTTGTGGTGCATCGGCTGACTTGAAGCTTCTCACTTCACATTGCTATAATGTGCAGGGAATACAGTGACAAAGCAACGGGGAAATGTGTGCCGTGTATAACAAAGGCTCATTGTTCCTTATACACACAACAGGATGTCAACTAGTTCCTAAAACAGTCACAGTTAATGACCTATTGACTGTAAAATGTAGGACCGATTTTATGCATGTTGCCTGTGCAGCATATACAGGTGCATCTCAATAAATTAGAATGTCGTGGAAAAGTTCATTTATTTCAGTAATTCAACACAGGATCATGCAACTTTGCCATGAAATATCTGCTGCATAACAGCACTGAAAGAAACATCTGGGTTACCACATTAAGTATTCTCTATAATAATGGCCATAAAATATAAACCGAGAGTGTTTTAATTGTTCAGACTGTATACTGCCTGAGAGATAAGCTGTACGTTCGTCTGGTTGTTCTGGTGCTCAGTGTAGCGCCAGCCGGAGGACAACAGCTGAAAGAGAAAGTGGGCTGAGTGTCTATAGGGTCTAAAGTAATTGCTCAGCCCTTTTTCTCACTCTGGAGGTGTAAAGATCTTGGAGTTTGGGCAGGGAGGCACGGATATTCCCTCAGCAATCCCGACTGTCTGTCTGTAGTAGTCTTCTGATGTCTGATTTGGTGGCTGAGCCAAACCAGACAGTTATTGAAGCGCACAGGACAGACTCAATAACAGTCGAGCAGAACTGTGTGAGCAGGTTGAACTTCCTTAACTGCTGTAGGAAGAATAACTTTTGTTGGCCCTTTCGGATTCTAATATATATTTTCAAACCAGAGGGATGTAGATGAGTTTGTTTCTTTATCGGAACAGATAAAGTCATCTTGTCTGAATCAGGAGAGAAATATTCACAGATCAAGCACCGTTTATAAGCAAAATCCGTCCAAAACTGTTCTAAACAAATAGGTTGGTTTATTTTGATGTGAGAGGACAACAGTGGATGGACTTTTTCACATATTGACGCTTTATGATGGACTATTACATTTTTGCCAGGAGCGACTGTTTAAATGTTAAGTTCAAATGCCTTAATGATGGATTTGTTTTTTTTACAAACACATAGCTCTCTGCTTCACAAGGCTATAATTGATGGACTGGAGTGGTGTGGATTACTTGTGGATTATTGTGATGTTTTTATCAGCTGTTTGGACTCTCATTCTGACGGCGCCCATTCACTGCAGAGAATCCACTGGTGAGCAAGTGATGTAATGCTATATTTCTCAAAATCTGTTCCAATGAAGAAACAAACTCATCTGTATCTTGGATGGAAATTTTTTAGCAACTTTTTATTTTTGGGAGAACTATTCCTTTAAGGCTTGTTTTTATCGACTTTCTTGAATTGAAGTTTAATTTGTATTTTTTTTTTTTTTTTCTAAACTTAAATTTAATTTAACTTTCTACAATTTTATGTACCTAAAACAAGTGAAATATGCCAATGCAGTAAGCGAAAATGTAATGGTGAAAAACATTTTAATTGTGGTTTCGGACACACAGAAAGCTACTGTATTATTTCACAGAAGACTTGTAATATAAAGCACAAGTCATATGAACTACTTTTATTTTGATCAAAGTAATTTTTTAGCCCTTTATTTTTTTAATCTTTTCGAAATGAATCATGCATCTTGATTGCACTGAAACAAGTAAATCAGACATTGTACCTAACATCTCTTTTTGAGCTCCACAGCAGAAAGTCAGTCATGCAGGTTTGGAACAACTTTTCTATGTAATAAAGTTTCACTAAATGTCTATGCACTAAGATACAGTTAGCCATTTATACACACAAACCGTGAATATTTCCCCTTTCATACGAACAGTAGATAGAAGGTGTATTGTTTCCTGAGGCCAAAAGCGGGAAGTGACCTCTAAATGCTGCATGTCTAGTTCCTCTTTGAGTCTGGTTTAAACACAGCTGTCTGTTCATCAGCTCTGACCTACAGCCATCCTCACACAGATAAGCGCTGCTCTCTCAACACAGCTTTGTTTCACAGATAACGGAGGTTTAGCTCTGCTACAGCTGGAGAACAACTGGAGGTATGGGTTTTTATCTTTACTACATGTTTGCACAACTTTCATTGTTCTTTTGCAATGTTAAGATCCTTGACAAAGCTATATATCTGACCTATTAAATATGAATATATCTATTCATATTGACGGTTAGATATATAAGGAGTCATATTTGATCATTTTTAACAGTTCTGTAATGATCGCAGTGTGGTGAATCTCACATAATACGTTTAAAATGTCTAATTCTGTCATCATTTGCTCACCCTCATGTCATGACTTTCTGTTTTCCGTAGAACATAATGAGATTTTGGTGCAATGTTGGTAGCCAAATAATGTTGATGGCCATTGAATTCCACTGCAGAAACAAAAAGAAAAATCCTCAAAAATATATTGTATGCTTCACACAGAAAAAAAGAAAGGGAAAGTAAAAGACATTTTCATTTTCGGTTGAACATGTCTGGGTGGCGTTTCACTGCCTGTAAAACCATTAAGATGTTTCAAATTAATCCAAATTAAATGAAATAAAATTATTTTATGTATACATCATGGTAGTATTAATGCTGAATAAAAAAAATATACTGTACTGTAATATTGACATCGTCATTCACAATAGAAAATCTAATTTTAAAAAGTGCAGATGCATTATGGTAATGACAGTTGTCAAAAATATAATGTCACAATGCTAAATATTGTAATTATCCCGTAGAACATAATGAGATTTTGGTGCAATGTTGGTAGCCAAATAATGTTGATGGCCATTGAATTCCACTGCAGAAACAAAAAGAAAAATCCTCAAAAATATATTGTATGCTTCACACAGAAAAAAAGAAAGGGAAAGTAGAAGACATTTTCATTTTCGGTTGAACATGTCTGGGTGGCGTTTCACTGCCTGTAAAACCATTAAGATGTTTCAAATTAATCCAAATTAAATGAAATAAAATTATTTTATGTATACATCATGGTAGTATTAATGCTGAATAAAAAAAATATACTGTACTGTAATATTGACATCGTCATTCACAATAGAAAATCTAATTTTAAAAAGTGCAGATGCATTATGGTAATGACAGTTGTCAAAAATATAATGTCACAATGCTAAATATTGTAATTATCATAAAAAATGCAATTTTCTTTATGCAAAAAAATATATATATTATTTATTGTGTCCAGGATACGTTTTCGTGAGTTTTGTTTGAGTCCCTTGACTTGGTCTAAGCTCCTTAGTGTCATATGAACAAACCTGAGGAGTTTAGAGCAAGTAAAGGGTCTTTTACCAACTAAAACTGAAGACCACTGATGACATCCCATCCTGATGGAGACTTTCAAAAGCATAACGTCCCCTTGTATTTTTTCAATAAAGATACACCTGAGCAGCATGAAGCAAATCACTTGTGTTTATTTACAAAAATAAGATTGCAACGCAACAGCAGATACAATACACTGTAGCAAAACCGTATGTTCTCCGTAAGGTTGGCCCATATTTGCACTACTGCAAAAATATAGCTAGAACAGCTCTGAAAAAGTTTGCCATAGCAACCACTCGCTCGCTCTCACAGATTGAGGCACTGGGAACCGGCTAGTCGGTGTACAATTGAGGAACATAGAGAAGTGGAAGATGATGTTAAAAGAAAGAAGTGTAGCTGTGCTTCAAATGAACACTGAGCGGCGGCTCAACGGCAGAGACAAACGCACACAGAGGAAGTACAGGGACGTGCGGGGGCAGAGCTGGTGCATGTTTTCTCCATCCGCCAGTGATCCCGATCTACCTGACACACAAAACTCATGCATTGTGGTTATCAGCTTACCAGTCGGTTTTACAATCCTGCTCCAACCTCCTCTAAGATTTAATCAGGAAGCGAAAGCTAAATGGTTTTATCTGATTGGGTGGATGTCACTGCTAACACAAGGCAAGTGATCACAGTGTACTGCATTTAGTTAATGCTAAATGTATCTGCAGTATATAACTGGCCTAGTATTGCTAATATGGTTCATTTAAGATAAAACCTAAAGTCTTATCTTCTACACCAGGCAATACAGATCTTAACATTAGCACACAAATGTAACACACTGAAACTGAGGAACATGCCATTTTTGCTCCCGTAGTTTTGGTATGTAGGAGTACAGATGCATTTTACGAGACGTATTCACAGTACTTGGTTCATTTAGAGCTCATCTGTTTGTCGTTTGGAGTAAACATTTATTACACAAATCAAGCAACCAAAACCACTCGGAAACCAGAATTTTCTGTAACGTACCATATTTGGGTTCCTTAAAATGGTGCACCATAGATATTACGAGTTTAAGAATAGTTCACGCGAAAATTTTTATTCAATATTTACCGTATTCACACTCCAATCCTGCATGACTTTGACTCTCGCATGGGAAAAAAACAGGAATATTTGAAAGAACATGCTGGAAACTCTTATAACATTAGCAAAAAAAAGGATGGTTTGCTTTTTGCGCTTTTTCCACAGACAAAAAGTCATACACGTTTAGAACCTGAAAAGAGTAAATATAAAAGATTTCACTTTTGGGGGAACTACCCCTTTCATTTTGAAGGAACTATGGTACAAGGAAACCAAAATAAACCAGAAATACTGGTAAGCAGTGAAATCATCAGTTTTCCATAACAGTAGAAAGGTAACACTATAAAGTTCCATAGTTAACTGCATTACTCAACTAACAATAAAAAAAAAAATACTTCTAATACATTAACTCTTTCCCCACCAAACAGAATTTTCCAAGTTTCCACGTTCTCACTGTTATACACTGGGGGCGCTATTACGCATCTCCTGATTGAGTCCAGAATCTCCCGATCAAATATACAGGCGAGGAAGCAGCAGAAACTAGTGATTAGGGATGGTCGATATGGACTTCAAAATATATCACGATATTTCTGGTATTTATTGCGATAACGATACCAATGACGATAATTCAGGGAATCCTGTTTCTTTAGAGAAAAGTATTATCTTTCCTATTTTTACCCAAAATAGGGTGTTGTGAGCATTAATAAGTACACACGTAATGTAAAGACTGTTTAATTCATACTGGAAGCCGGACGGCGCTCTTGCACAGAAACGCCACATATCCATAGCACAAGTAATACTACTGACGACGCTCCAGGAAGGTTTCCAGTTATCGCTGAATAAAACGCACAATGGAGATAGAGACATTTTCATATCTGTGTTCTTCAATCTTGGGTATTTTTATAAGGAAAGTATATTTATAACGCAATGTTCGACATGGCCTTTATCACTGTATATAATACTATCATTCTGTAATATGAAACCACGTCTGGTCACAAAAAGAAGTATTTCAAACACTCGACTATGTTATTAAGTTAATTTGGAGAAAAAGCATGTCAATAAATTATATCTTTGTTGGACAACAGTTTTGTAAACAGGCTCATACACATGCAAAACTGTATCGCACACGTGCTACTGTAGTACATTTATTCAGACCGATTTTTTGTGCACTGTACAGCCCTAACCAAACCAGTTACAGATCGTAAAAGGAGCTCGAGCTCCTCATTTAAGCGATATAGGCTAGTCCTCAATTTCACGGCCGCCTTCCGCAATGTCGCACACAGAAATATGTCAACTACTAGACTTTATCGTTATTATCGCGGGAAGACTAATTCTTATCGTGGGGAGAATTTTTACCTGTATATCGCAAACGATAAGATATCGCCCATCCCTACTAGTGATCTTATATGTAAGCACATGCATGTGAAAAAATAATGTGATCATCAACAACATTACAGCATGAAATGTCGATCCAGGAAGTGGTAAAGGACTGTGAAGCTTTAGGGGTGCTGATGGAAGCCATCTACTGCATCTATGCTTCGATCATCAAACTGAATATGATCCAGATGTAGTACTTGGTAAAAATACAATTTTATTAGCTTTTTGCAAATGTTGCTTTTTTTATGACACTTACCTACATTCAAGAGTTAATAAAAAAAAAGAATGCTTGAAGCTAGAATGTTTAAAAGTAGAGGCTCTGTTCTTTATTTTTATGTATTGCATGTACAGATATTCATACAGCAAAATATTCTGTGGATCATGAAATTTTAGTGAAATGTTGGCGGTGGCTGGCAACCTTTTTTCAAAAATTCTGGCGGGGAAAGAGTTAATCATAGCTCATGTTAATTTCAACATTTACTAATATGTGACCCTGGACCACAAAACAAGTCTTAAGTGTCAATTTCTCAAAATTGAGATTTATACATAATCTGAAAGCTGATAAATAAGCTTTCCATTGATGTATGGTTTGTTAGGATAGGACAATATTTGGCCGAGATACAGCTATTTGAAAATCTGGAATCTGAGGGTGCAAAAAAAATCAAAATATTGAGAAAAGTTGTCCAAATGAAGTCCTTAGCAGTGCATATTACTAATCAAAAATTAAGATTTGATATATCTTTTTTTGGAGAATTAGAATGAGCCATTCACTTCTCAATGGACGTGCATTATAAACAAGCTGAAAGACTCACTTCGTCTATGGCGGACTCCTCGATGAGGCGCGGGGCGTCTGCAGACAAGAGGCCGTGGGTGGCCATGATGTAGATCTTATAAGCTCCTCTCTCTTTCAGAATCTCAGCTGTTGCCACAAAGTCCTCCACATCATCAATGATGTCATCCTACAGGACAGAAACAACATGCACTGCTCATCCCGCCAATCAAAAATTCCCGTCACACTGATACCTAGTCCAAAAACACGCATTTCTTACGACAATGATGGCGATGCGGCCTCCAACATCTCCGACAACAGTGATGGGCGGTTTCTCCTTGGCCATCATTACTATAAAGACAAACATCAACTAGTTTTTCAAATCATTTCAGGAAATTGTTTGCAGACCAAGAGGCCAATCAATCACATTCCATCATTAGAGTAGATTGGGTAAGATGGGTTCAAGTTTATGCAATGGCCTAGAAATTTAGGAAATGGCCCAACCAACCCATATACACAAGTATTATTTAATCATTTGAAAAGTCCTGCATGGACCCAATTACACATAACGCTAGCTTATTTGTTGGAGAACGCTTCCCATTTTACCCCACCTACAATTCAATCCAAATAGGAATGAAAAACTCATGCCATGCAGAAATCAAAATGATCATCTCTTGCTCCCCAATATACCCAATCATAGAGGCGAACATCTAGAGGTTTTACACTACGAGTCAGTGCAGGAAACTACACATCAATCAATCTGTCCTCGAGTCAACATGACCGACTCCAGGACATCGCTGTAATTCAGGAGTGGTCAAGAAGGGCTAATGTCATTCATCCAGAGGAAGGGCACAGGAACACAGCCAAAACACACACACTCCGGATCCAAGTAATCACGAGAGAGAGAGAGAGGAAGACTGGTGGGTCGATTTAAGAATACAAGGGGGTTAAAGGAGTTATGCATGCCTTCAACACATGCCTTTCATCAAGAGTGGGACCCACAATGCTTTTCTATATTTATACCTTCAGTATTACAGATTAACGAGGCTTACAGACCATCTCTCCTAATCATATTCAATAGACCACTGATTTAAGGAGCCGTTGTTCTGTAAAACAGCATCTTTGAAAGGCATTGTTCACAGAGGACGGGTTCTTGACATAAAAAGCGCTACAGTAGATGGGTGCAAATGGAGTCATCAGCAACCACGCGTTCAAAACAGCGTTTTTCTTAGGGCTGGGTGATTTTTACGGTTTTTATTACATTAATGAGAATGCAATGTTTCGCCACTATTGATTGATTCATTCACTCATTGAGGAATCATGGCTTTGAATAAAAATTGGCAAAAATATTAGTTACAATTAAGCACGTTGAAAATGCTCCAATGATAACAGTTTAAAAAAAATAATAATAATAATCCGACCGCATTGTTTTTACAAAAAATTCACTGTTAATAGTAGCCTACTACTGGTGTTACACTTTTAGTCGTTTGCAATTTGAATTGCCTTGACTTTTTGAGTTGTACTCTAAAACTGCATGTCTACATTTTGGTTAATAAATATGACGGATAGGTCTTATTTTATATTATTTCTTAATATACAGGGTGTGTTTAAGACCTGTTTGTGCAATATTTGCATATTTCATGCATCTTTTCTGCAAAGCTAAGAAGTGAATTTGTTTTACATTTACACCATGTTGACCACTTCATGTGTGCTGCACTTGGAATAGAGCTTTCTTTAACCAGATAATTTTGTAAGTTTTAATAAAGACAGTGCTACTTGAACCATGTTTTAGTTGCATTTTTTAATTGTAAAAGTAGCTGTAATAAATATATATATATACACATTTAAATAGTTATCTTGTATTGGTCTGATGGACAAAATGAGATTTGATTTTTTGCCTTATAACCCAGCCCTAATCTTTCTCCAAATATATACTACATTTTGGTAAGCAATATTTATATAACAAATATTTCATTATATTATAGTAAATGTTTGACAAGTGAAAATGTCATCAGCCAATCAGCATGATACCGATGACGTAATTCTCCTGCAGTGATTAGTCACATGGTAGAGATTATCTTTATGCAAATGAGAAGTGGCATAAATGCAGCGACTACCAATACAGACAGTGATCTGCTGTCTGATAATGCTGGATACTGCAGCAAACAAATAGCAATTCTGTTTCAGCCAAAATAACTCGAAAAGGCAGAAACCATTGACCAAAAGTGTGACATTTTATAAACACTTTTCTGATGACACATTGACTCTCAGTAGGCGCGTTTCCATTACAGATTTGCGCAAAACTTTGGCGTATGACGGCGTTTCCATTAACCAATGTTATGAGACTTAAACGGAACCTTTTGCCTCTCGCGATAAGTCATGGCAACGGATTTTGGTGGGATTTTGGCTATATTTATTTAAAGGAGGCTTATGCGTGTATCTTTACAGAAGCAGCAAAGTGAGCCGCTTCAGAAACGTGTGTGGCACGGCTGGAATAAACCATAGACTGTATAAAAACATAAACACAAGCATTGAGTGGCCGCAATCAGCTTCAGATGCTGTATCAGAGCCACACTGCATCTAAGCATTAATGGTAGGGAAAGCCCCTTATACTGGAGCGCGGCCACTTATGAAGTGTTTCTTGGAGGTTATAGTACATTGAAGAATGATCATATGACTTTTTACATACGCCATGTGACCTGTAAATGTGAAAAAGCCGTTTCCATTGCAGTTTTGCGAATTATTCCTTTTTCGCATTGCCTGAAAAACCACCTCATGCGAGTGTAAAAACTTGTTTGCGATATATGGGCGTTTTTGCGAAATTGACGCGTTTCCATTAGGCGCATTTTCAATTTGCGCAATTTGAAGGGTAATGGAAACGCGCCTAGTGTAGTGCACACAACGTGGACAAGTAAACGTCAGTAGAGATTATCAAAAATGAGGGTAGAGTTGCAATATTTAACATTTGTTTGGCTAAAAATATCAAGTTTCCGAGGAACTTCACTACAACGGATTTAATTTTAATCTGATACTACTACACCCTGAACAGATTAAAAATAAATAAATACATTTAAAAATGAATTACTAAAATTGAATTACCAAAATGTATCCATATTTAATTACCAAAACTTTATTTTTGGTTTTGGTTTTCAACTAAATGAAAAATTCAATGTTTTAGTAAAAAATTAATTAAAAAAACAACAACAATAATAATAATAATAATAATAATAATAATAATAATAATAATAATAATAAAAAATTACAAATAACAATATAAATAATTTATTAAATAATAAATAAATATTGAATAACTATTAGTAATAAATATTAAACAAATATATATTATGAATAATAATAATAAATATTTATTATTTATAAATAATAATTTTGGTGCGTCACTACAAAATGTGGTGCTCATGGCACTAGACAATGAATATATAAATGGCTGTATACAAGTTTTTTTTTTTTTTAAATGATGGAATGCAAGATGACGTCCTATGTGAACGACCCCAACAAGTGCTGATAGCCAACGGTAGTATTTGACAAAAAATATTTTAAAGTTTTCTAAACACTGTTTTTTCTGTGTACTTCCACAAGCTTCTGTGAACAAAAAGCATACGCTTTTTTTTAATTAACCCTGTATCTAAACCTCTATGAACTTTCAGTGAACGCCTTCCTCTATTTATTTAATTAAGGTCATGTGTTTCCAAGACGATGCAGGGGCCTTGGTTCCAAGCAGCTAAAAGACTACCATTTAAAACCTCTAGTCTAGGGATTTTTCATAAGCAGGCATGGAGTGTTGATTGGCAAGATGAGCCTGGATCACAAATAAAGGCATTTCTCTCAGACAGACATTCAATGGTTCCATTTCTGAACGATGGTAATTACATGGAATTTGAAAATAAGCACTTCATTTGAGGCTTCTTAGTTCTGTTCGACTGAAGCACTCTGAAGCTTAGACATACATTTTTTACCATTATTTGGAAAAAATTATTAGGCTGGCCGGTATATCGGTAGATACATTTATGCCATTATGTGTGCTTTTATCGGCTATTTTACAATGGCTTCTAGTCATCAAATTTTAATGTCACTATGTTTTTTTAATGTGTAAGATGAAGCATCTTTAATTTGTAAAACCGTAAATTAGGGGATTGCGCAAAAATTGTCATTAGGACATTGTTATAAAAATACAAACTTTACATTGAAAATATTATATAGAAATGTGACTGGTAGCATAATATAAAAAAAATGCCTGTATTGTGATATTTTGGACATACCGACCACCCCTACTCTTTATAATAGTTTATAATTATATTATTAAAATAATATAATAATTTGAACTGCTCTTGTTATAACTGAGAAATAATTATAGAATACATATCTCTGAGTTTACTCATGGTAACTAAAGTGCTTCAGAGTGCTGGATCACAGACACTGAGAGACCTCTGCCACTGCACGCATGCAATAGGAACCATTTCAGCGTGTTCACTGCTGTGATCGGTAGCAAATAGAGTTAACCGTCATACTTGGGAGCTCTATGCCTGGGAACGGAGCTTGCTGTTTGCCTATTACCAATAAATAAACATCACGTTAAACAAAAATCCACACACAAATGATAGAACATACAGACATGAAACCAGGACTTCAACAATCCTTATCAAACCCTGACAAAAATGTATTTTACAACCTTTCAAATGAACTTTTCTCAGCTCCGTTGAATTTAATGCTTTGAAATTTGAGCAAATTGAGGGTCTTTTCAGGATTGTCAAAGTCCATACAAAAACCATAAATGTACATCGAGCTACTTGGAGTGAACTCCTCTCAGGCAATGTGTGAGTAGACAAAGGCCAAGACACTTATCACACAGGACCTGCTCTTACATTAAACACAATGTGATATTTAGCATTTTATGATCTTAATTCCCTTCTGTACTGAGGTAACTGTGTGCTCAAGGTAAAACATACGTGAGAAGCTTAAAATCTAGAACAATTAACACATGGAATAGTGAAAAGAATAACTGTCTCAAAACCTAGATGATTGATTCATCTATTTCACTAATTGGTTGGTGTCTATCAAAACACACCAGAACTAAACTGTTCGTCATGGAATCTAATTCTTGTAACAGGAAATAACATGTTTTGTGCAGTTCTTTAAAGGGGTCATAGGATGCCCATTTTCCACAAGTTGATATGATTCTCATCATGAATGATTCGCGCGAACATAAACGCATTTATGTAGGTCGGGGGTGCATTCCCTTCAGAAACAATGTAATCCACTGCGAGTTCAGCAGCTCAGAAGTTGGGAGTAAATGACGACTGCTGTTCATTATTACATCCAACAACAGAACACCTCAATCGCTTAGGAGTCATTCTTGTCTACATCTGCTCCGGCGGGAGAAAGGGGAAAACATTTAACCAAATAAAAAAAAAAAACACTGGGTGGATTTTTATCATTATAGGGTGGTTGTGTACACACACTGCCAACACACATTTCAGTTCAAACTACTTGTAAAAGTGCATGTAGCATCCTATGACCCCTTTAATTGTTGGTCTATATATACACATGCTTCAAACAGATCTATTTTTAAAGAATTTTTTTTTTTAAATCTTAAGACCATACAGTGTCGAGCACTGTTTATCTTAAATGAAAGTCACCAAGCAAGTTGCTGCGCTCTAAACATTTGGACCACTAGATAGAGCCAAAATGCCACAAAATTAAAACTAAGACTTCATTTTGATATGTCTTCTGATCCGGTATTTTGCAATTAATGTGCTTTCATGATTGATCATTCCTGTCACTTTTGAGTATTTGTTGTATTTTTTTAGTTGGATTGTTCAATAGGTTTGGAACAGAACAGAGGAGACTCAGTGCTGTCTAGGTGGTTCGTTTTAGTAGGTTTTGAGACAAAGTCTTTGTAAACATCTAGGAGACAGTGATTAATGAATGGGGGAAGGTTAAAAAAAAAAAAAAAAACTTGACCTATCTTGAACTCCTTAATCTCCAGAATCAGCTATTTCGCAAGCTGAATGCTGCGATCGAACCCTTAATTAACAGGCTCATTGTATGAACTCAGCTAAATCTTACAAAAACATGTTTTTATGGGGGGTTTTTTCACCCCAAAATCAAAAGGAAAAGTAAATATTTTTGTAAATTTACTTTGGAAAAACATAATTTTATTTTTTGCAATGTGGTATTATTTTCATGACAGCACATTTTCGTTCATTCGCTTTTGTACTTTTGTTATTGTTCAATATTTATGCATTTTTAATTACAGTGATGAGAATGAAATTCTTCAAATAAATATTAAACTGAATTTCTTTGTAAAAAAATAACATTACCTACTGTTACTTTCTTTTGATTTTAATGGGTGAAATACTATCACAAAATGCCTTTCTGATCTAGTTTGTGTTTGTAACCTGGTTTAACCTCTTAATAACATTAAAGCTTAGTCACTGGGTTGGAGCTGCTGGGATTCAGAGTGTGGTGACTCTTACATGGCAACTCCAAGCCGGGGTGCCCAATGGTGTTGCGGACACATGGAGGAGAATGCCGCCCATCTGCCATGTCGGACTCCGAACACTGTGCTTCTCCGTGCATGACGGCCAGACCAAGACGCAGACGCTCTGCAAACGACTGAGCCCTGAAGAGAGGGGAGACATACAGAGATGTTCCTTATGACCCTCTTGACTTTTGGAGGGTTTTTCTTTAGCATTCCTTTAGACTTAAAGGGTTAGTTCACCCAAAAATGAAAATTACTCCATGCTTTACTCACCCTCAAGCCATCCTAGGTGTATATGACATTCTTCTTTCAGACGAATACAATCAGAGTTATATTAAATAAGGTCCAGGCTAATCCATGCTTTATAATGGGAGTGGATGGTAGTCCAAAATTTGAAGTCCAAAAAATTGCACCCATCCATTCTGAAGCGACGCGATGCGTTTGTGTAAGAAAAATATCCATATTTACAACTTAATAAATCTTAATCTCTAGCTTCCGCTAACTGTCGTACGCACATTCACGAGAGAGAGGTGTCCAGCGGATGACGTAAGACGTAGGCAAACACAGTGACGAACGTGGAAGCGCAGAGGAGAGAGCGAAACAAAACACCGGTCACAAATTAGTAGTACAAAACGAGGATTTGTAAAGAAAAATGTCAGAGGATTTCGATATAAGCCAAGAGGACACTGTTTTTCCTTTGCTGTAAACAAAACTTGTTTCTCGCGAGACTAGCATATTCTCGCTGGAGTTTACGCTACATCCTACGTCATCCTCTGGACGCCTCTCTCTCGTGAATGCGCGTACGACAGTTAGCGGAAGCTAGAGATTAAGGTTTATAAAGTTGTAAATATGGATATATTTCTTACACAAACGCATCGAGTCGCTTCAGAAGGCCTTTATTAACCCCCCGGAGCCATGTGGACTTCTTTTATAATGGACGAGGGCAATTTTTTGGACTTCAAATGTTGGGCTACCATCCACTCCCATTATAAAGCATGGATTAGCCTGGACATTATTTAATATAACTCCGATTGTATTCGTCTGAAAGAAGAATGTCATATGCACCTAGGATGGCTTGAGGGGGAGTAAATCAAGGGGTAATTTTCATTTTTGGATGAACTATCCCTTTAAGGTCATTGCACACAGAGTCTGAAATTCTCGTCCGAATTTTTCGCACATTAAACCGTACTCAGTGTGCAATGACCTTTTCTCATCTTTTCCATAATATGATTGTGTCCGTCAAGCTTTAAAACTGAAAAAGCACATACAATTCCATACAAATTGTGCCGGGAATAAAATTATGATTTTTATAAGTACACAGTTAAAGGGATATTTCACCCCAAAAATGAAAATGTTGTTATTATTTACTCATTCACATGTGGAATTTCTTTCTTCTGATGAACACAAAAGAAAATATTTTAAGGAACCTAACAATTGCTGGTAGCCACTGATTTCCAGTGGGGGTTTTTTATGGCTACAGTCAACTGTTTGGTTACCAAAATATTTTCAACCATCTTTTGTGTTCAAAATATCTTCTTTTGTGACCCTATGAATTTTTTTTTTTATTATTATTATTTTTGGCTAATTTTATAATGCTTTCAGTTAAAATGTTGTGCTTTCATCTCTGTTTAAATCCATATTCAGATTTTCCCTTAAAATCAGAAAATTTTTAATTAAAAATAAAAAAAAGTCTGCCAATTCCATCTAAGCACGGTTTTATCTATGACAAATACAACACAGATCCAGGAGCCGTTACCTTTTTGCAGCAGATGGGGACTTGGCTACAATGATAGCGTTTCTATAATCAGGAATCTATTCAAAATAGAAATGGGAAGAACCAAAAATTACATTATTTTTCACATATATATATATATATATTTTAAATGGCTGTAAATGCTGCCTACCTCCTCCTGAATGTACTGCACCAGGAATGGAGAAGCCCGCAGGTTGTCCACAGGGAAAGTAAAGAAGCCCTGGATCTCTTTCTGGTGCAGATCCATGGTGATTATATGAGTCAGACCTAGTTTACATTGCAAATTATTAAAAGCTGCTGAAAAAACACTCTGGATCATAATGGTGTAACACGTAACCATATCAGTAAAACCTTTAGACACATTGGACATCGTTGATCTATTTTTTGAATGCTAAAATGCTATGAATTAGTCAATGTAGACAAATATAAATTGTGTATGAATTTCTTTTCAATCAACTAAAATGGTCATTTTTAATTTGGAGCAGAGAGTTCAGAAAAAGCAGTCAACCATAAAAATAAAGACTGATTGTGGTGTCCACATTTTTGACTGTTACTGCTAAAACAGAAGTAGGAACATGACAGCAATCATAAACCATTACCTGCTTTAGCCAACATGGAAGCGAGCAGTTTGCACACTATAGATCCTCTCTTCCTCATCTTACACTGTTTACTGTAGGGGAAGTACGGGATCACGCCGATGATGTTCTTGGCACAGGAGGTCTTCAGTGCATAGGCCATGATCAGCAGCTCCATAATAGCAGTGTTAACATCTCTGACGGACACAGACAAATGGACTTCAGCTAATTGTTCTAAAGAGCTTCAAGGCCTGGTGAGAACAGCAATCTGAGACACGCAATTTAACACAAAAAAAAAAGAAGGTAAGATGCCCTGTAGACTTCACTTTGTGCCTTCTGTGTTCCACGAAAAAAAAGAAAGTCAAAATGGCATAAGGGAGGGCAAATGATGTCAGAATTGGCAAATAAAGTGCACATTAAAAATCTAAATTAATGTACAATGATGCTCATGAAAAATTTGAAAAATCATAGCAAGTATATGGTTAATACATGATGTATGGCCTAGCTCTAAACAGCTCTATATATAGATACATAGATGACAGCTCAAGCAAGATAAGGATTAAGATCACACAGCAATTAAGCTATAGTGTTATGCAAAAATTCACAGGCGCAAATAAGTTTAAACGGTCTGAGCTTACTAGAATTTAATAAGCATGCTGATTTCCTATTCTGAATTGGATTCAATACACTGGCACTCTTACCTGGGAATGGTTTGGATGATGAAGATCGTTTGGCCTCTCACAGACTCTTTGATCTCAACTCTCGTTTCTGTCAGATAAAAGCAACAACATCAAAATAACAATGGTAAATGGATTATTTAGTTGACACTAACCTGTTTGGGTGAATGAACCTCATGAAGAAAATGAAAACTTTTACCTCAAAATAAAAATAAGAAACTATATTTTGAATAAAGAAATTAAGCCTATTTTAAGACCATTATTCCTTTATTATTAAGATCCTTATTTTTCTTCTTCTACTTAATATTTTTTATCATTTCATTCCACTATTAACCATTGTTAAGACCATTTAATCACATACGTCAATTACTGTAATTAATTGCACATTACCATTATTGCAATATCTTCAGATTTACTAAAATGTATGTTCCTTGATCACATACTGTACATATTATTATTTTTTATAAATATTAGGTCTCATGCACACTAGAGATGCACCGATCAATCGGCCAGGGATCGGAATCGGCCGATTTTCCTCCTGATCGGCCCGGATCGGTGATCGGCCAATCAGTCTCACTTCTTTCCGATTTCGAGCCGATCCGTTTTGTTACCAGTGGCACAGGCAATAACGTCAGCCGTGCATTCTCGCTCTCTTCTCTCCGACGACCGCTTCTCTCTCACACACGTCTCATTCGCTCCGGTTAAATAGTGCTTGTATTGCGCATTAT